ATATATATATATATATATATATATATATATATATATAATTTTTATTTATTTTAAGCATGATATAACATTTATATAACATTTAAGCATGATAGAACAAAAAAGCTTTTAAAGGTTTTTCTATACCATCTACACCAGATTCTCAAGTATATATATATTCTGTGCTTCTACAATGTTAATTCTTTGTTTTGTTTAATGTGAATACTCGACGGTCATTTAATTAGTTATTACGATCTTCTTCGGCCAAAATAACACTTTTACGTGTCATCATTATCAATGATTCCTCTGTTTCTAAATATATTAGTGGGAAGTATTCCAATTGCCCGTTTTTGAATATTTATTATCGGATGTCTTTGTTCTATGTGTATTGATTCGGCTAGTAGTAATTTATAATGGCTGTTATTGTAATATAAGATTTCAACATTGTTGTCCAAGATTTGCCTAGAAATTTTAGTTTTGTGTTTCTTTTTCATATAATTCTTTTTCTTTATAGCGCCAGTTTGTACGCGCATCGTTAGTCTTCTTGGTAGCTTGGTCGTCGTCGTACCAACATATTCAGAACTTTGGTGTCCACATTCACCAATATTACTTGACGACGACTCACGATGCACGTAAAAATAGGCGTCATAAAAAAAGAATCACATGAAAGAGAAACACAAAACTAAAATTACTAGGCAAATCTTGAACAACAATGTTAAAATCTTACATTACAATAACAACAATAACAACTTACGACTAGCCGAGTCAGTACTCATAGAACATAGACATCCTATAATTAATATTCAACAACGTGCAATTTGTAATCTTTCCCACTAATAAATTTGCTCTTATAAATTGCTTTAAAAAGATAACGGTTGGGTAAATGTTTTAAAAACATTTTTAATGGTACACAATTTTTAAAATGATATAAAAATTTAAAACGGTTTCATAATGTTTTAATATTCGTCAAAATTCTGCCCATCATGTAAAAGTAACCTGCTGCACCACCTAGTCAGAGGAAGCAATTTCATAAATTAATCTTTGATATTTTTAATTTGTTGAAAAAGACAGCCGCTTGAAACGGTGCGTTTTATATCTGTGGTAACGCACAATTTTAAAATAAAGTTATGAAAAAATAATTTCATTCAAATCAGAATTTGTAATAAATTGAAGTTAATGAATAAATTATTTTTTTGAAAACAGTTGAAATGAGTTGTAAAATCGTTCAAAATTTTATGTGGAATAATTTTAGAGAACTTAAAATAATTAGATGTAGATTGCGATGTAAGAAGCAGGCAGTGCAAATTATTCAGCTATAATATTAACAAAAAATGAAACTAAAAACAGACGCGAAACTACTTAAAAAAACGAAGGGATAGCTAACGATTTGTTTGCCTAAGAAATTTGACTGCTGAATTGCAAAGTCAGGCATGGAAAGTTTACCGGAGTTTATTTAGTGCAATGCACTTTGGCGCGGTGCTCCATTACATCTGCCTGCACGTTCACCATGTTTGCTGGCTGGCTCATTCATAGCATTCTTTTCACTAATAATAATAGTAATAATAATAATAATATGAATTTAGAAAGTTTTCAAAAGTCACAATTACCTAATACGTCATTAAATCTTAGCTATAAAATTTTAAATCAGTCATTTAAAAGATCAAATATTCGAACTCCATCGATTGCACGCAACATCATTCATTAGTGTAAATGTAGGTAGCCCAATATTTTGAACAAAATAAATAAAATGTGACTCATAAATAGTTTTCTTTGTTACTACACGATGGAATTTTGAAATTTTAAACATTCTCTGTGTGCACAAATTTTTATGTAACCGTAAATTATAGCTGAAAATTTGTACAAAAACTTATTATTTTATCAACCAGTGGTCAAATTTATTTAAACTTCTTCAATGTTATCTTTCATCAATTATGTTGCGTGTCTAACAAGTTTTTGTTATAGTTGAGCACATTCGAGTACACAATCAAAAATATAATTACTTGGACTGCAGTCACTGATTAATGTAAACAATCGCAGGCAGAGGATTCCCCGCAGGACCAGTTACAGAACAGTGCTCACCAACGGTCTGTCTGTTTGTCTTACTTCTTGTTGTGTTTGTACTATGTGGCTTGTTTACAGATTGAAGTATTCAAAATGACTATCTGCTCAACAAAAGCCAAACACAAACACAAAAAATATGTCAAACTCAATCAAAGCATGATATGTTTTCAGAAAAGATTAAGAATTTTAAAAATAAACACTTTTATATAGAAATTGTTGGAGATTAATGACGAATTATTAGTATGTTGAACCTAACGAGATGCGTAATGCGTTTGCGTGCTAACTCTTTCCTTGCTGCGAAACTGATACGGCATGGAGCTTAAAATTGAAATAACGAGAAAAGTTTGTAACTCATTGATCAATTATCTTTACATTCATCTTGCTTTTCTTGGTGTTAGTTTTAATATTCTGCGAAACAAAATTATTCGCCATCAGCAAGTTTGTTGAAAAATATTCTATATCTTTGCATAAATGTGGTTGGTTACATTTTTTAATTTTTTTTTACTCAAACTATTTGAGTAAAATATTCATTGATTATTACTTTCAACAAATAAATATTCGCACTTTAATACAATCTGATAAATTTAAACCAAATCAGTTTAAAAATAACCCGTTGTTAAAATAATTTTATAAAAGATATACCGCTGTTTATATCAATAAAAATAACTTGTCGGCTTTCGAAAAACGGACCTGATAGAGGACAGATTCAAAGAAAGTGTGTGGTGAAGTCAAAAACAAAAATGAGACATCGATAGTTGTCTTATGTTATCGTACTCCTGACTCAAGTCGAAAAAACGATAATGGACTCCATGAACTAATTAGCAAAGCCACGAAAGGACCATGCTTTATAATGGGAGACTTAAACCATCATATAGATTGGACTAAGAGACAGGGCAAAAAAATTTTTGATGACCTTCTTTTGGAATGCATGGATGAAAATTTTCTCACACAGTATGTGTTTGAGTCAATGAGGAAGAAAAATGTGCTTTACTTAATAATCTCTACAGATAAGAATATGATGGAAGATTCCTGGTCGGAAAAAGGTTTGGCTCCAGTGATCATCAAATAAGATTCAGCGTAGCTGTAATACATGAAAGTGAAGCTATAACATACAAAAAAGCTATTTAACTACTTATAACTACATTTTATTTAAAAGATCTTATATAAGTTAAAAGCTAAAGTTGAATGATGGAAACACCAAATCCTTAGATAGCGTTCCGCTTCAAAACATTAATTTTGAAAGTGAAAAAATTAAATGGATAAAATTTAAATTCAAGACAACAAAATTGAACCTACTCATCAAAAATAAATCTGTCTTATCAAAGTCTAATTTGGTTCAACTCTAAAATTTTTGTTTTCCCTAATTCCTGTCTCTTAATAAATTTTTCCAGCGTAGGCTATACAACTATCTTTTAAAAAATGCTAGCTAACGGTAAAATGGAAACAAAGTGAAAACATATTTAACATAGATTAACACCATTGTTTTGCTTTGTTACAATTATCCTACATTCAATTTTTTAAATACTGAAATATTATTACAGAATTTCTTGCATTTTCGTACAATATTTTTCTTGGCTGTCTAAAAGATAGAATTGTTGTTTTTTGTTTCTGCATTGCGCGCAAGCGATTTTTATAGTTTATCAGGTTTGTTATATCGTTAAAAAAATAAAAGATAAACTTTTCTCAAGATATATATATATTTATTTATTTATTCATATTTGTGTGTGTGTGTGTGTGTGGGCGCGTGCGGGTGCATGCTTGCGCGAACATGTGTGTTTTATCTGTTAGAATGTTAAACATAGGTACTTAAAATAAATAATAACGAATGAAACATAATAATATAAATAAATACAAACTATACATAATGATTGCACCGTTGGACAGGCAACACATGTTTTATGAAAGTTGCCTCGTCTCGACAAGATGCTAAATAACTTGGACGCTTCAAACGCACACACGTGTAGTTATCAATATTTTTTATTTCATTATTTGATACTGGAGTGATAGTTAGAACTGTATCTGTCAACACTATGTCTATAGTACATCTGTTATAATATTATTAATAATAATAATAACTTAATAATAATAATTTCAGAATAATTTCAGCTTGTTATAACTGGCTGTGAAATTCAATCATTTTTTTATCAAGGGTTCTTTAATTTATTCATTTATTTACAAAATAATTTTTCAGGATTAGTTGTTGTTATCGTTTTAAATTTTACAAATGATAGTTTTATCTGGAAAAAAAATAAATCCACTTATTGGAAAACATTCTTTCATTTTTTATTGATGAATATAAAAATTTAACTATTTTTAAACTAAAACAAACGAATGAAAATGGTTGCCTACTTGTCGTATTTGATAGACAGCAACTGTTTCGTGTTTGCGCGTGTGTGTGCGCGCGCGTGTGTATGTTTGTTTGTGTGTATGTGTGTGTGTGTTTGTTTATGAAATATATTAACAAAGTTCCATGATAAAAAATTTTAAAAACATAAACGCGTAATTTAAAAGGAAATATAAAATATATTTAAGATGAAATAATAACTTACTTGCTTGTGTCAGGGGGTGTAAATATAGTTAAATATAATATATTTATATTTATTTATTTGCATACATATCAATATATATTTGTATATATGTGTTTATTTATTTTTTAATTATTTATATTATATATATATATACAAACATATATAAGTATATATTATTATATTTACGTATATAGATATGTGCTTTTTAAATTTTTTCCTCTAAACCTTAAGTAATTGTTATTGGATGATAAATCATTTAGCCCATGTTAAAATGAATGAGATAGCAGAGAAGTATGTGAACGCTGAGCAGACGAGAACAGATGATGCATCATTTCAAACATTTCTGCTCCTCCTTATATATGAAGACGTGTAATACGCACCACACCAACATGATAACATGCAACGCTCGCTCATATGTCTAGTGAGTGAATGGAGATGCATTGTGAATTGGAGGTACATTTTATGGCATGCATTGTTTCTCTGCTCTGCTTCAATCATCCAAACACCCACACAACAACTCACGAAACATTAATTCGTTTGTACACATAAACAGAAACTCAAAACACCCGGTTATATATAAACTCACATATATGCTACATATCTTATATTTAAATACACATACACATTTATGTGCTTAAGTGTATATATATATATATATATATATATATATATATACATACATACATACATATAATTTCAAGAAGTCTATGAATTTATAGATATATAAGTATATTTGTAATTCAGCATGTGTATTTATATGTACGGTAACTTAAATTAAATAAGCGAAAAAAATCAACACCCTTCATATGACTGTGAAGACTGAAGATGCTGAATTCTTTTTCGAAATTAACATTTTTGTATTCCATTACACCAAGTGTAATGATTTTTGATTATTCGCCAAATTTATTTGCTTCAAAAAAATGTATAATTTTATTTTTTCGAATAATTTTTGTTAAAAAAATATCCACAAGAAAGCTGCTGCAAAAGGAACTCGTTGCATGGAACAGATGTTCATTAGCAGAACATGGAGGGGAGTATGAAATTGAATGAATCTTAATTACGCGTACTTGAAGAATTCTACATCCATAATAATTTGCAGATCCTATCTAACAATGCTCTTATTGAGTAGAGTGGTTTTGTACCTTATGATAATTATGTATTCTTAAATTTGTAAATGTAATGATATAGATCATGGCGATGACTTTGTAATGTAACACCCTGCTTAAGTAGGTTAGAACATTGAAAAGTTGACAGAAATCACAAAATTGCCTGTAATGTCTCCACACATTATTCAACTTGAAATTATTTTCTTACAAAATCAAACCTTAGTAATGAAACAAGACCTCGTGAAATTGGTTAGAAGCCAAGTTTGATTAGAGCAATTGTGTTAACTGAATTTGATGAAGTCTTCATTTCAATGGTTCCAAACATCGCAGGAGACATGCAATTTTTAAAAACTACAAAATTTTCAACCCGGTTGGCATTTGCAACGACCATCAAAAAATGATGATGATGATGATGGTAATGAATCATCATCATCATGACCATGATGAGATCAATCATTGAAATCACCCTGCTTAAACAACTTTGTGGGACTGGCTCACGTGTTTTTGTGTGTGTATGTTTGTGTGTGTATGAGTGTGCGTGTGTGTGTGTGTGTCAGGTAACAATTTCCCGTGTCGCATCATGCATATACATTATTAATACAGAACTTGCATTTTTTCACATCATAGGGCGTGTTCCATATTTACGATTTTGCTATTGGTCAAGACATTATTTCATCTCCCGGTCCTATTGAGTTGACTTCAGACGAAATAATTTTTTTGAAGTCACTTCGATATAGGTTGTTAAATTTTTTAGATCAGCAAGTAACGTGTTCCAAGTTTTGGCAGCCGAGGTTAAAAATCTTCTTACACCAAAATGTATCGTTATGCATGATGTATACTCTATAATGCATCAAATTATTATTATATATATATACAATCGTGTAATAGATGTGTTGAACCAATTAACTTGAAATGTGGTATTTAAATGTAGGTACGTCGGAGAATGGTCGGTTTGGAATGAGAATGGTCAACCTTCAAAAAAGGTCGGTTTCGAGACGGGGTATACAGAATTTTTGATAGATTTCAAGGCTGAAAACAAGCTGATTGGTTTGATATTTAGTAAACAAGGGTCTTTGGGCACGGCGAAAAACGTGGACAATGTTTCAACTTGCTCCGCTCTTGGAAGGCGTTGGTTCGTGGAAGAGAAGATTTGTTGATGAATTTTACGGCCAAAAACTGATTGGCTTGAAAATTTTATAAATAATGTTTTTTGGGTACGTCAAAGTTGTAACGTAGTTTTAATTTTAATTAGCTAAATCATCAAAAAGGCTTATTTTTAGTTGGTTAAGTGGTGGGTGAGCGACATTTTCATAAAAAGTGCGTCATCACAAGTATCATCGTTGTCGTCATTTTGTTTTTTTACCCAATTTAATTGTCGTCATCATCTTCCGCATCATCATTATCTTCCTCATCATCATCTTCATTATCATCATCATTATCATCCACGTCATCATCTTCATAGTCAACCGCAAAAACGTCTTCATCATTAGCATAATCATCATCATCATATCTACACTCTTATCATCATCATAACAGGCAACATTATCATTATATGCACCATCATCATCATCCTCGCCCTCATCATCATCCGCATTATCATTCTCCGTATCATCATCAGCATCTTCATCTGCATCATCATTATCACCATCAGCCACAGCATCACCATCATCAGCCACATCTTGTCATCATCGGCATCACCCTCATCAGCAAAAGAGAAAACAGATTTGATTGTATTTCGGAAGCCCTGTACAAATGTGTATATGTGCATAGTCGTTCGTTTAAAGCGGACGTTAATGGAGATGCAAACATGTTGATTGTTATTGATGGCCACTCCACATCACCATCCGAGATAAGTCCCGCTGTTGTCTTTCAAACAATATTTATAGCCGCATCTTCACGATGACAATGACAAGCAGGCCGCAGATAACGAAAATGTTAACTTGCAAAAAAGAACCTTTAATGAAAATCGTTTGTGTGAGATGTACGGGTGATGTTTCAAACAAAAAATGACTCTCCTCACCGAGTTTGTAGCTCACCAAGATCAAAAAGTGACATAATTTTCAATCGATTTCATGCAAGTTGCGATAACAGAAAATAAAAATATAAATAAAAATGCATGATTTGTATTGCGTTGAGGGTTATGCAGATAAGATTTAATAATAATAATATAAATAGTAATAATAATGAAATTAATAGGGATAATAATGAAAAGAATTGTAATAACAATTATTATTAACCTAATTTTAAGTATATTAGGACCATAGAGGCCAACCGTCCCGAATTGGGCAAGACAGTCACGAATTTTACCCTCCATGTATAGCGACCTACATTGGTGTCCTTGGGACGCATATTTGTCCCGCTTTTTGCGAAACCAATACAAATAGTTGAATAATGAAATTACAATTTAATAGCCAGTTTCAAAGAGCCATACAAACCAATATTTTTTATTTTCCAACACAAATACACAAATAC